GGCCAAAACCAGTCCATTTCAGCTCACTAATGCCTAAAATATTGACCTTTATGCATTCCATTTCATTTTTGACAACTCCCCAATTTTTCTAGATTCAAACTTGATACATTCCATGTTCCAATTATTAATGGATGTTTGCAGCTGTTTCTTCTCATCTTGATTTATGCCACATCAGCACACAGAGGTCCCAAAAGCTTTACTCAGAGCCAGCTCTTTCCCAGTCGTATCTTGAGTGCCTTCTGACCTGAGGGGCTCATCTTCCAGCACTATATCAGACAATGTTTCAGGGCTATTCACAAATTTTTTCAGTAATATATCAGACAGTGCTTCACTGCTATTCAAAAGGTTTCTCACCAGGCAATTCTTTGAGAAGTAGATAGCCTCTTCCTTCTTCCAAGTCTGTCTTAGTCTGGAAGCTCCGCTGATACCTGTCCACCATGGGTAACTCTGTTGGCATTTGAAACACCGGTGGCATAGCCTCCAGCCTCACAACATGCAAGCTACCATAGTACAACAATCTGACAGACAAGTTCGTCTCTCTTAGCTGTTCCAAACAGCTCTGCTCCCACTTCCCAGCCTGCCCTACCTCTTCTGACTCTCCAAAGCTGGAACATAATACATTATATAGTATCGTACTAATTTTCTATCATTCAACTCACTCAAATGCTATATATTTGAAATTATGCTTATTAATATTTGTAGTTCCAGAGTATTCAATTTAACAGATATGTTACACTGTACTGCATAAGCAGACCATAATTTAGTTTCCATTCCCCTATTGGGATGGATTTACATTATTTCTAATACTTCATTAAGACGATGCTCCAATGAAAGTCATTTTTGCTCATATGTTCTTGTACATATCAATATAGGGTTCTAGGTGTGTGTCTTCATTATATTTTTGCCTACTTGCTGTTTATGGTAATTGACATTCCCATCTGTAGTGCATAAGAGTTTCTGTTGCTCCACAACCTTGCCAATATTTGGTACTGTCAGATTTTTAAATTTTTGGAAAGAGAATGTGTAAGATGATATCCCACTGCTCCATAATTTATACATCCTTAATGATTAATCCTTTCCTACGTTTATTGGTTATTTGGGTTTTCTTTCCCTAAACAGCACATCTGCATTCTTTAACTATTCTTCAACTGGGCTCTATTTTTCTAATTGATTTGTAGGGTTTTTTTTCCCCCACATATTCTCAATAACTAATCCTGTCAGTTATACTTATTGAAAATATCTTTTCCAAACCTATCACTTTACTTTTTTTTTTCCTCCACTGGTTCTCCATTAGATTTAATTCTACTAAACATACATTATTTCCATTTTATTAATCTAGTTGTGCTGCTACTTCTTGTTGTTGTTGTTATGTGCCATCAAGTTGGACCCGACTCATAGCAACTCCTCCTTGGGTTTCTAAGGCAGTATCACTATTGCCCCATCTTCCTTC